ATCAAATTTCAAGCAGAATTTGTTCTTTTGGCCCCCTCAGCTGTGCTTTGCCCCTCAACAATCTCTATCAAGCTCCGGCACTTCCCTCAATTTTGAATTCTTGATCTTTGTTCAACCTTAAGTAGGAGATGGACTGGGTTGAGAAGCGCGTAACGTGGCGCGCGCGTGTCCTGTCTACAGGCTGGCTCGACGAGAGCAGATCGTACAATCAAATCCGTAGGATAGACCAGGTCCATCATTTCCCATTCGTTATATAGGAAAACTCTTTTTCCTCGGACGACCGTTTACTCGTTGGGCGCATGCAGCAACCTATAAAAGGCATCAACCATCGATCTCTCCTCCAACAACAACTTCAAGCAAGGTCATTCATCCATCGTACGTGCGTACGTAGCTCGGCTAGCCTTCTATCTGCGACATTTGCTCCATACCGTACGTACCACAGGTGTACTCAGAGACTCGAAAAGTTACACCAGGAAGATTTCTATGGGGTCGTCGGCGACGATGGCGAGGGCGGTGGTGGTAGCCGTGCTGCTGGTCCAGTGCTGCAACGTGGTCCTCGCGGCGAGGCTGCTCGAGGGAGACCGCGGTTGGCTGCACGGCGGCGTTGGCACCGCCGGGGCGCTTATCATGCAGGTCCTGCCCGGCGGCTCTCCGGGTGCGGGAACACCCAACGGCTGCACCAACAACCCCAACCATCCCCCCGGAGGGCCATGCAACGGCGGCCGCTAAGACGCCGGCGGAGCTCGACTAGTCAATTAGCATGCATGTGCGTGACGCACGTACATGCGTAGATAGAGGTCGTCTCGTGTTCGTCTGGTTTGATTGATTCTTTGTTCATTGGTTCTTTCATCCTTTTAAATGTAGTATTTTTTGGGGGGCTTCCGTGAAATGATGGAGCCCTCGAAGCTGTTCAAATTTAGTTAGTTTTAGTACATGAATTTGCAATAAGGTTGTCTCTCACGTAGGTCTCCGTGATCACTAACCAATGTATATAAAGATCTTTCTGTTTCTTTTCATAACCATGAGTGGAAGATTGTTGGATTTCATGTGATTTGTATTTTGGAAGGAGCGAAACAGACTCATTTTCGCCGGGAAATGGCTTACCTACCAGCTAGGTCAAGGGACCAAACCAGGATAATCCACATTTATTGGTAATCTTTAGTAGTCATGCAAATATGTAATTATTTCATTTCCACTTTATAAAATTAACGAGAAGACAATGTTCGGGCTGGTTTCTTCATAAAATGTTTCTATGCATTGTTTTGTTCGTTGTTTTTGATATAGCTCATCATTCATTACCAATGGTAAAAATGTTTCTACTCAGGGCGACTTGAAATGAATGTCTAAGTATATGCGAGGAAGCGTGTTCAGTCGAATTCAAATTGTAGTGTTTGTTACATGTCCCCATAATATTCCATATTTCCATTACCCCTGTTTTGTCATAGTTGAAGTCTTGAAGTACTCCTATTCAAAATAGTTCAAAAGTGCATGCTAGAAAACATTTAATCAAGCGCGCACTAATATCAATCATTATAATCGCATCATGCATGCGGCACTAAGCAGGTGCGTATTTGGAATCCTAGTCCTAGGAATAAACAAAGGTCAAACACCTATCATCTGCCAAATAAAGAGCTTCAAACTCGGACGGGTCTAACAAGCATGCCAGCTTGACCTTTCCATAGTTGGACCAGACCAATAACAGAATGGTCAAGCTACGACAGCCGTGGGTTTTTTTTCATTTAATTATCTATATTCATTCAATTTGATTATTTTTTGAATTGTTTGAATTGCTTACCACATATGTCAGGTGGTATATTCATTCGGTTCATTCACGAGCTCCCTATGACTAGGAGCTTCAAACCGCTAGAATTTGCGGTAGATTTCCAAAATGTTATGACAGGTTAACTAATCTCTGAAACCCGTTACTAGGATATCCTGCTGCGGATTAGTTAGAAATGCACCTCGTACCAACGTCATGGATAACGTGTCTAGCATAAGCGATTTAAAAAAAAATTGTAACTCAAACTAAGTAAACAAAGGTTTCAGGTCTCTGCATGGTAAGCCTGGGTGTAGGTAGAGTGCTTATTCAGGCCGAAAGAAGTTGACTGCGTACATGTTTTGAATAAAAGGAAGAGCGTAAAAGTTGAATTGAAAAGTTCATGTCGCCCCCGTTGAACTGGAAATACTGTTGGCGCTGGCTGTCCGAGGAATTCAGACATCATGCACGCATGCTTTCTCAGCGACTGAAATTCTACTACGGTACTGATGTCATCTGAGGCGCAACAATTGATGGACCTGATCAACCGCACGCCTAACTGAGAAATGGAAGCAAAGTCCTCCACATGCCGTGGAATTCTTTCTGAACTGGTTGACCTGCTAATCAATTACTCCCTCCGTCTTAAAATAAGTGTCTCAACTTTATACTAACTTTACACGCAGAATCAGACAGTCATTTGATTACTCCAAGTAACTTTTGGTTTCCGATCTACAGTACTAGTACTCAGCTAGCATTGGACAAAAGGAATCGTGCTTACAGAATTGACTTGGTGCTGCTCGCCAGCCTACACAGACAGAGCTGTATATTACGCTACATGCATGAGATTCAGTCTTCCAGGTTGACCTCTCAAATCTTTTAGGTTGACAGCTGACCATGTCTCAGATTATACTTTTACATGTATGCAGGAACCAAACACACACGTATTCAGACTGAAAAAGCCGTACATGTTCCATGTCTTTATCTCCAGAAAGACGGGGCCCCACGAATGGTATAAGCACAGGAATTTTTACCGTTGTTGCCAATTGCCATTTTAAGATTTGAATTAAGAGTTCCATGTGCTTGTCTCTGCAAGTCGATCCAGATCGATGAATCGCGAGTCGCAGGTTGAACCACTACCGTATGCTAGTAGTATATACCATCAGTTTTAACAAACAAAACAATATTTTCTTTTGTTTGTGGAACAGGGCGCATTTAACAGGCTTCAAACTATGTCCTCTGAGAGATATACTAAAAGACAGAGAATCTCAAAACTCTGCTTCATTTATCAACATATCAATGGCCATAAGAGATCTTAACATTGTGTGCCTATATCACAGGGTTTGGACCAGAGAAAATTGAAAATTATTTGAGGGGACTACTGTACTGTAACTGATAAACAGTCGCCTAGACGGACAAATAGACGCGTCTTGTAACCACCAGAACGCGAGGGGGGGAGAAACAGAAATAAAATTCAGAAGGTGGACACTGAGCAGGATTGTTGGAGAAGAATACCAGCAAATTTTCAATGGCCAAAATCCTTGAGCCTCCTCTTCAAAACATCCAAGGACCTCGTGCGAGCATTCTGCTTCGTGTTGCGGTTGGAAAGGCTTCCAAACAGCCCGTCTGCCGAGTCCTTGAACTTGTCGACAATGATGGAAACCTTCTTGTAGTCCAGCGATCCGTAGTTCTTCCCCCGTATCACCGGATTCATGAAGTTCTCAGGCTGGCTGCTCGACAGAAGGTTGACGAGCTGCCTTATCTCAACCAAGCAATCCCTGAACGTCGTTTCCTTCCCCATATCTGCCAGCCCGGTGATGTGGAATTTCTCATCAGCAAATGCCTCCAGCATCTTCAGGTCCATGTCGAGGCCTAAAACGGCACTCATCGTTAACCTTTTCACGCCGTCGCTCAGAAGCGTTGTCATTATCGAGTCCGAGATGTGGCCCACTGCACCAGAGACAACCTTGTACAGAGCTTCAAGTGGTAAAATCTCCGAAGCCGTTGATACTAGTGTTTCAAGATAAATAAGAACCTCGTTCATGTAGTCATTGGCATTGTCCGGTGTTTCTTCCACTATCCAGTTGACGTCGTCCAAGAGCACCATAAAATCATCGATCTTGGAATTGGCCATGTTTATTAAGGCATTATATGCTGCGTTCTGCGAGGCTTTTAGCACGGCTCGAGCAGTCAAAGTAGCGCGAGACCTCTGCGCGACGCGCTTGGGGATGCCGCACTGCTGGGCACAGTGCAAGAGGTACAGATCACAAGCATGCTCCAGAACAGAGATATTTCCTGCTAGTTGCATCATCTGTGACATGGCCAATGAGCGAGCATACATCCTGTTGAGAAGGCAGTCGTTCAATACCTCAATCAATAGCCTGTCTAGGTAAGCTTTCACCACTTCATACAGGTTCATGTCACCACCATAAGACAAATAGCTCACAGAATCCTCAACGAAGGACCGGACAACGCGACAAACTTCTGGAACAGAAGAGGAGAATGGCGCCACATATGGAAACTCCGGGATCACCTCACTTGGCTCCAGATGAAATGCTGTGACATTCATGTTGTACTCGTATTCCTTCTTTATAACCATCTGCTCGTACGAGTCATTAGCAAGGATATCATCTACCTGCCTCCGGCACTCGGAAAGAAGCAGTTGGTGGTACTTGTCCCGGCTTCTCGAAAGAATATTGATCAATGGTGTGGTTTGGTAACCATACTTCCTTAGAACTGCAGCCATAAGAGTGATATAATCTTTTATGAGGAGGAGGTGGCTGGCCGTGCCGATGCGAGAAAACTGGCTCTCCAGTAGAGATGTCATCTTGGCAACGGCTGTTTCCCATGTTGCTTCGACTTGGCTCTCGGTCAGCAATCTCTCTGCAGTTCGAAGGACGCGTTGTTCAACAATAAAAAACCCAGCTACCTGTGCAAGGAAGGGCTGATGGGACTCGAGGAACGGTTGCGAAGTGGAAATTTGCATATCCAGGCTGAGTTGCATTTGCCTGTTCTTGTAGTAATAATCTCTGAACTTCTCTCCAATACCGAGGCGCACATGGATGTGATGCGTTCGATAAACAGGTGTGAGATCAAAATCTAGTGCTGTTTCCTCATCTGTATTCTCTGCATCCAAGGTATACATGTGCTGATCTGGTCCAGCATGGCCATGCTCTTCAGCCTCTCTCTGCCGCGCACGCATTTCCTCCTCTTTTTGGCGAGCCAAAGAGGCGTGACTTATCGACACCTGCCCGATCTGCTTGGACATCCTTCTGATATGAACAAGCCAATCATTGAACTCGCCACAGGCTTTCTTCTCGATGTGCAGCTTTATCAACGGTATCTGTCTCCCAACCACCTTTTTAATGATCTTCACAGGAATGTTTTGCAGGTATCCATGCTCAATCAAATCCAGAGTCTTGAGCGCAGGATGGAACTTAGCTTCGGCAATGTAATTGTTGCACGCCATGCACAGGGTAATGACTTTGACGCAGATCTTCAATATCGTCATGGCCTCTCCCACGTTTTTCTTGACTGAATACAACTCAAGAAGTTTGTCAAGCTTCAGCAGCAGGGCACTCGACGCCTCCTGCAGGTGCGAGTTCTCACCGGATAACATGCTCTTGAGCTCCTCGGCGTCGACCATCACACCGCGCAACTCGTCGACGGCGAGGATGAAATCCTCATAGTGAAGCCTGCATAGCTCTTCGATCTCAACCTCTTTCTTCTTCACGATGCTCCTGAGGCTATGCGTGAGGGCTTCTGGCTTGCCGGAATCAAACCCGTGCCGGATCATGGGGCCCAGATCCTCGCCGTTTGCAATGAACGCGGCAAGGCCCATGCCGAGGCCTCCATCGCCGCTGTCCACGATAGCTCTCTTCTTTGGCTGGTCAGCCATGATTTAATAACTGTAAAAAGAGCAGATGTGCAATTTCAGCGCAGTTATGGGAGATGCATCTCTAGAAGTTTAGGAATTAAAATAGAAGCAACAAAGAAATAAAGCAAATTGACGCGGGGATTCACGAGCTTATTTGTAATGATCCTTTGCCTGGTACAAATGCAGTAGCGAAAATAAAAAACATCAAGGATCATTCCATGATTATTTGCATACCCAAAAGACAACCGATAGGAAACCAAGAAAGAATCACTCGACCAAATCGCTAGACGATCACCAGAACGACGAAACCAGTCCGATCTTTGGGGATTCAAATCGTTGCGGCAGGGAAATCGCAAATGGTAATTTCCATCGGAGAAGGAAACCAGCGGTGGATTTACATGGATCGATCGCAGGTGGCCGCTCCCTTGTCTAACGTCTCTCCTCCCTTCCCCGTTCAAATAATAGCGGGCCCTTCCCCGGCGGCGAGCTCCGTCCCCTCCCTTGTCAGTGGCAGGCGGAGAAGACGATGGCGGGATCACAAGGAGAGGGGCGTGCATTATCGAGTTGGTCCACGGCGGAGGGGCGTGCGTACGTACAAGAGAAGGGAAGGAGTCGGGCGGGCGGATGCGATGGCGCCGCCGTGCGGAGGAGATCGGCGGCGGCCTGCGGTTGATCCCTGAAATGGAACCTCTGGCGAGTGGCGCGGCGCGAGAAGTGCGTGCGGGGAGTGGAACGGGCCGGACAGCCTCGGGAAAGAAAGTGTGCGTGGCCGGAGAATAGGGCCATCCGTCTACAGCTCCGTTTGGTTCGGTTCGGTTGGGTTGGATCCGGTGTTGAAGGACAGAAGAGAGAAGTGAGAACCATGCTGGCTGGCTGGCTGGCTGGGGAGTACGATGTGCGTGAGTGAGTGACTGACTAGTGACTCCCATGCCGGCTAGCTACTCAAGCGGTTGGTGCCTTTGGGTGCGATCAGGGTCTGTCTGGACTCTGGAGACGCGCCGTCAGCTTCTACTCCCTCCGGTCTTTTTTACTCTGCATATTATAATTCTCTGAAGTTAAACTTCACAAAGTTTGATCGTATTTATATGGAAAAGTATCAACATTTGCCATGCTAAAGTTATACAATATAAAACTTTAAGTCATGACACATCTATTGATATTGATTTCAGATTGTGAATGTTGGTACTTTTTTCTATAAAGATGGTCAAACTTTACGAGCCTTGACTTCAGTCAAATCTTATATGCGAACTAAAAAGGACTGGATGGAGTAATAATGCATGCGCTGAGCTCCATGGTGATGATTCAAACCTGGCTGCAGCGATGGAGGATCTCGAGTTCCATCTCCGCACTAATTTCTCCAAAATGGAATGGATGGAGGTTCTTGAATGCACTAGGGAGCTAAATAAACCTGCTCATCAACGTGCCAGAATGGAGAGGCTATTTCGTGTTCTGCAAGTAGCCTTGCTCTGGGAGCATGATGTGCCTGCACGTACTGCTAGCTTTGTAGCAGCCAATTTGCCCTTCCTCGTTGTGTAATAATAATAAAGCTATTGCTTTTCCCTCAGAAAAAGGAACATACAAGACATAAACACGGGCACTTAACTGGTCACAGATCGATTTGCGGGTAGTTAAACTCTATACTGGTATTCGGGAGCGATGTTTCCAGGTTGAGATACCCACCCACACAGCCACATTGTACCATTTATTACACATGAATAGCAGATGGGGGAAAGAAACTCAACGACCAGCGTGCTCAAGCCTCAAGCAGCAAGGAAAGAAGTGTGCAAATGGGATGGCAAAAAAACAGAGGTAGCAACTCATCGTTATCGTACATCTTCAGAGGGTTCGTCGTGACAGATTTCTCGGGCAACGGTGCACCTGTTTCAGCTGTGTATTTCCAGTCAGGTTTCGGCCGGTGGCATCCTCGAGAATGACTGCAGCAACAAACTAAATAAGAACCAGAGGAATGATGACAGACATGCCTGGCCAAGCTACTTCCTTGCTAACAGCCAGTAAGTGCTAATTAGAATACGAAAGTGTCATAGTAGTTTAGAAAAGATAAACACCTTATAAGAAAACTCGACTAGTCAAAGACAGGGTTTGCAACTATTGTTGATGATTTGGTGAATCAAGATCAATACAATGATGCCGGGCACCATTGCTCAATGATAAATGTACGTGCTAAGAAGAAAGGATGGCATAGAGTGACAGGTCAAAAGAATGCACATGCTTACCTTCTATGTACAACGGTCAACGGCATTATCTACTTCTGAGTGACGACCTCATCCTTAGACTCTGCCTGAAAGGAAATAACCAGCACAAAGTGTAAATTTTCCACATCGTATATATAGATAATGCAGCTACTTCTAGCTGAAAAGAGCTGATTGATAGAACACATATAGTCTCTCACTAATAAATAGGCTAAATGCAGGAATCCGTTTAAAAAAAGGTAGCATATCATGTACCTCAGCTGCAGTTTTTCTTCGAACTTTTCTAGTTGGACTCCTCATAGTGACAAATTCCTCTGCAGATGTTGGGTGAACGCCAACAGTGACATCAAAATCTTGCTTCGTTAACCCAGCTTTAACACCAATTGCAATTCCCTGTCACATAGTTGTAGAAACATGACAAACAAGCCTTGAAAGAAGCAACAATGGTGAAGAATAATACAAAATCATGCAGACCTGGATTATCTCAGGTGCATCATCACCGCACATATGCACTCCTACAACTTTGTTCGTAGTAGCACACACAATGAGCTTCATTAGTACACGATCAGGTAATCCAGAAAGAGTGGCTCTAAGAGGTCTGAAGTTTGACAAGTAGACATCAACATCTCCATACTCTTCAATAGCCTGCACAAATATGCATATGAGCAACCTCCTTTTTGTGCAACAAACTTTGATGCAAGCCATATATTATCACCTGCTCCTCGGTAAGGCCAACTTGCCCAATGGGTGGTTGGGAGAAAACAGCAGCTGGTACAGCTCTGTCAAAAAAAAATCACAATGAAAAAGCATTCAATAGAGCAATGATATCCAGTCTCAAATAACAAAAAAAAAACTAAAAAGCAATGAAATTAAATTATGCATTTCAGTGCAAATTCAGTTTCAGGAGATTGTCAGGCTGGGTGAAGCAGAAAAATATTTATCCAAACAAATTGACCAAATGAACTCAACTTTCAAAAGTCACATCACTTCAAATTTTAGTTCATTTGGCTGACGAGGGTTAGAGGGCACCCTAAGGGTCACAAACTTGCGTCCATAGAACTGGGGGATGGAGGACTAACTTGAAAGGCTACCATAATTTTAAAAATCCACAATACTTTCTGAAAGTGAAAAACAAGGAAATAAAAACTAAATCAAATCTGGTCCTGTAAACTATCATCAGGAGAGGTAACCACTCATGGTCAACTAACAAGATATACATCATTTCTAGAACAACCATTGCCTCAACGGCTCAACCATATGGTTTTTAAGATTCCTGGTTGTGAGTTGATAAATGATTAAATACCTGTACTCTGGTTTGGTAGGTTCATCACCGAATAAAGTTTTCGCAAATGCTCCACCTTCCATCAGTGCAACCGGAGTCAAGTTGATCCTATCAGTAACATCTCCAACAGCCCAAATTGAATCCACCGAGGTTCGAGAATACCCATCGACCTAGCAAGGACAAATATATAACAAGAATCCAAATGTCATGGTGACAATAAAAGCCAGAAGAACTTGAAGGCCACGTATTATTTTACCTACCACTATAGCCCCCTTCTTGTCCATTTTAACCCCAACCTCCTCCAGTCCGAGGTTCTACAAGAACAACAACTATGTTAGGACTCTAGGATGAACGAATTCATAAAACTGTGATATACGATATAACTAAGCAAAAACAAAATGTCTCAGATGGTACTACTAACCTTCGTATTCGGTTTACGACCTGTTGCGAACATTACATGTGAAAACCCACCAATAGTTTCTTTGTTTGTCTTCAAAGATAGTAAACCATCATTTGATTTGGTTATAGCTTGAGGACTATGTTCAGTATGAAATGTGATACCCCTTAAAGACATCTGTTCAGCAACGAAATCTCTGACCTGAAGTTCAAAACTGAAAAAATAAGTCAGAAGTACAAGGCACCTCATCTATCGTTGACACTATTATATGTTATTCTTAATACTTTCTCACCTCCTCATCAAACCCTCTTAAAACTTTCGGCTGCCGAATAAACACATGAACATCACTTTTTAAGCCATTAAAAATGCCAGCAAACTCCAAGGCAATATATCCACCTCCCACTATTGCAATTTTCTCAGGTTTTGAAGGCAGATCTAGTGCAGCATCGGAATCTATAACATGCTCTATTCCTGGGATATCGGGCATCGATGGTCGACCACCAACAGCTATAAGTATGTTCTTAGCGGTGTAGAGCTTGCCATCCACACTAACAGTATGTGGATCAACCACCTGTATCAAGTGAACAAAAATTATATCAGTAACTGCACCTTCCAACAGAATTCATTTCAGAAAGCAGTCTATCTATCCCAACTTTAACCGGATTTACAAACATTGCCCAACCTTTCCACGGCCTTCAATTAGATCGACGTTTGCGTTCTTTAAAATATTTTTGTAAATGCCAACTAGGCGTTGCAGCTCTGTATTTTTGTTGGCTATCAGAGTGCTCCAGTCATGCTTTGGATCAGTATCATATGTCCATCCAAAGCCATGAGACTCTTCAAACTCATGAGAGAACTTGGATGCATACACTAACAGTTTCTTGGGAACGCACCCACGAAGCACACATCTGTGATGAAAACAAATAAAGTTCTTATAGATGCATTCTGGCATAAAAGTGAGTTAGGAATTCAATATGCATAACAAAACTAACAAGGATATGCAAATTATGAAGGCCAAAACTGTAGTGCTAAACAGTCCTCAATCGATACTGATGTGGACTGTGGAACACAGAAAGATTGGACATATAAACATGATAATTGACAAACCAAGATATTGTGAGGAAAATGCAAGAAGATAAACGCAGAACTGCTTGTCTCTCGAAACTTGCTACATACTGCAACTGCACCTCTTGATTCCAGTGGAGCCATTTTTTTTATGCAATCATATTAATAACATGACATTTACTCCATAGTAAAGTTAAGAATTATCAAGCGCATGGGTTCAATTCTACACAAGGAAACAGCAAATATGCCACAATACTGAAATAGGCTACAGTATGATGGTGCAGCATGAAACAGTGTGCAACTTGCCTACAGTCAAATTCCTCTACTAATACCAATTAACTAGAAACCGAAAAACTTCGGACAGCTGTCTGAACCACATATGAACATTATCTTTACTAGTGTAAAAAATTCCAAAGCAAGGATAACTGGATGTGCTGAAACCATATAATAAGACCACTCATGCAACAATAACATCACCAGAAACAAACATCCCCACCATCATGTAGCCTCTAACCCTTAAATGGCATGCGAATGTGATGAGAACTGAATGGCATAATAGGAATCTTCACTCTAAGAATCCAGTTCAGCAAGCTAAGGCGTGCGGTGAGGTGGCGGTAGCAATCTAGCTAACCAGTGCAGAAGTGGCCCAATCGCGCGACACATTCAACACTAGGCGCTTGTCATTCCAGAAGAAACTTGGCGAAGCACACATACTACGCTGCAACGCACGGCCTGGCCAAACCTTCCCTGCCGACAAACGAACCACGGAAGCAGGAGAAGCGGCATCCACTTACGTGCCCCCGAGGCCGCCGAGGTCGTCCGCGGAGATGGTGGAGAAGGGCATCTCGCAGATGGCGGCGCGGGCGCCGTAGAGGGTGGAGGCGAAGCGCGAGGCCCGCACGCCGCCGCTCCCGGCGCCGATGGTGAAGAGGTCGTAGTCGTGCTCCCCCCCGGAGGAGGACCCGTTGGGCGCGGCGGAGGCCGAGACGGGGCGGCGGAGGCGGGGGCGGGCGCGGTCCGGGAGCCGCGGGGAGGCGGCGAGGGAGCGGAGGCGGTGGCGGTGGATGAGGAGGGAGCGGCGCGGGGAGAGGGTCCGGGTCAGGGTCTGGACGGTGGTGGCGCAGGAGAAGGGGAGGGCCGCGGTGGTCGCCATGGCTCTCTCTCTCTTCCTCCGAGGTCCGAGCTCTCGCCGCGCTGCCGCCGGCTCCTTTCTGGAAGTGTGGGGAGGGGAGAGGAAGGGGGAGGCGAGACGATTGGCGATGAGTGGAGTAGTACGAATTTGTTTAGATTCCTCTTTCTTTATTCCGAAAGCGTACTTCCGAATAACAGCACTTCCTGCCGAAAGCGTACTCTATGCTTTTACGTAAAGGGGTAGCTAAAGTGAACGGTCAAGCCTCCCGCGCGCAATGTTCTAAGGCGGGTTCTAGGACGCCTTCATGTGACAGCAAACAACGGCACAGAAGGCCATTTCCCCTCTCGTGTTTGCGGCGGCTATGGCACTCATCACCTCTAAGCTACCTCGGCGAGTCTATGAATTCGTCTTTTATTTGACTGACACTTGGTCGCCGATGTCGGGGAAGGGGATCTCAATGCCTCGGCTTTGGTTAGTACCCCCTCCGTTCCTAAATACTAGATCGGCAACGCGCCTTGGCGCGAGGGTGCCAGTCCAACCGATATGTCAAGTGATGGAAGATCAAACCGCATGATGCATCAGTAGGAAGCAAGTTTAGCACATCTAAAACGTCAACAACTGATTTTCTGGTTCATGGGAAAAAATAAACATTCCAGAAGAGTAACATCATTGAGTTCAACAAAATCATGAGATTGTAAAAATTAATCCACCCCAGAAGTAGCAAAACATCAAGTTCAATGCAGTCATGAGATTACAAAAATAAATTAGCTCACATTAAGTTCACTTATACGAGTAGGAACATAAGAGAGCAAAAGCTACCACAACGGCAATGGAGGCGATAAAACTATGAAGTCATAGTTAGGCATAGATAGCTTGGTTCAACTGCCTCCATGAGTGATATTCCATTATGATGACCACATAATGGTTTTGTATAGAAAATGCACTTGTGATTTCCCTCTAAAACATATGTACAGTGAGCGATGGTTTCCCCTTCTAATCTTGAAGGCGATCGCCTTCGCCAACGGATGGATCAAGGCGCCCCTCATCTGCTGAGCTCCGGTCGAGCTCTCCTCCTTCCCCTTCCAGCGAGAGACATGACTTGCTTCCATTCTATAGAGATTGCTGTAAAGCTGTATGTAATTCATTTCTTCAGAGATCTTTATATAGTGGAGTCACCAGCTGCTCTGCATTCATGACTGCATCTAGTTCTGTATTAAACTAAAAGCCCTGGCATTTGTTAAGCTTGTGAGCAGCTCCCACAGTTCAAGATCAATCAATCAAGAATTTGGGGGAAAGCTAAATGGCATCGGTACCAGCAACTACAAATTTCAACCAAGTAGGCAAGAATTTACACATAAGATGTCACAGATATAGCAATTTTTCTCAATTGCTTCATTTGTAATAGAACACAAGAGGTTTACAGTTATATAACTCTGGCCAGTTATGATGAATAGATGTACATTAGATGCTTTAAGGTCCATGTTTTTCTGGTTGGAGCACCGAATGCTCACAGAATGACAGAAAGAAGAGAAAATGCATGGTGTCTTTATTTCTTATCTTCTAGGTCTAATTGACAGTTCAGTGATTGTTGCCAAACCATACCAGTAACTATTCTACTTACCAAGTACATAACCTTCCAGTATCTCTCTAATGTTGTACTTTGCTACTCGAAAGGTCAAAAGAACAAGGGAATCAAACTACAAGTAAACATACCTCTCCTAGCGATAGAAATATACTATCAAATCTAAGGGTGTACTACATTTGAAAGCATAGTTTCATGATAAGAGAAGTGAAAAAAATGAAAGAAATATATGTAAAGAAAATTGAGTATACCTTCCCCTGAAGGTATCCATCTCCCTGAAATTAGTCCCAAAGAGTTGGTTCAATAAGGTACTCTTTCCTGCTCAAAATAGGAATATGATTAATCTTATGTCAACTAAATTCTGAAGTACGTACTATCGATTTGTGATAAAGGGCATGAAGTCCACAACTCACACTTATCATCCAAGAATACATGTTTAAGTTTAGTATTATACTATCAGTGAAATGATGAAAATACGCATTTTCCAGTTAAATGTTAGAGAAGACTAACAAATAACCCCCAGGAGAAAGGATATACAGTGCAATTATAATTAATTGTTCATCAGTGGACTCTGATTCTTAGATGTCACTCGTGTTAGCAAGTGAAGGGCTTCAAAATAGATATGCACGGACACACTACTTTTACAATAAACACATGCCACCAAGTTGGGGTTGCAAGGATCAATGTAAATGTAGCATTAATCACCAAAAACAAATTTAGCACCAACAATGTATGAAGTCTGTCCAAAACCATGATATACTTGTAGGAAAAAATAGTGAGGCTGCGGTTGATCCACATGCAGCTGCAAATATAACCAGTGTGCCTCACTATAGAAACGGTGAGTGTAGAATTTTGTCATTGACATTAGAAGTTAAAAGAAAAGGACCGCATCCAGAAACAAAATCACCATAATTGTTGAATGAAGAGTTGAGGAAATCTGCAAAAACATGATTCTCGCTTGATTATAAACCTACTTCTAGTAATGTGATTCCAGTCTGTAAATACTATGGATTTACTGAAAGTTCTAAGCCTCTAATTATTATTTACAAAGTTACCACCTGATTATCAGTTTGGACAAAGTTGCATGATGAATACATATCAAACAAATACTCCTACTCCTAGATTGTCACATGACCTGTTATTAAAGATGAAGTGTGTATACCAGAGAAAAATCATGTAAAAAACATTTAACCCATACAAGAAGCAACATAAACTTACATTGTTTTGTGTTTTAACCTGATTGAGTGAATTAAAAAAAACACTGTATGCCTCTATCTTTTAGCAGCCTCTGCAATTCATTAAAATTGCACCAATATAAAAAGTAAGAATAGCAATGTAACATGGTTCTATATTCCAAAGAAGTATGCATCCGATCACCATACAATGATGTATATGAATTCTATGCAACGACAAAAACAGTAAACATTTGGAAATAAGATACATGGCACACACATGCATAATTACTGCGTCTGAATTATCAAGAAATACTATGCAACTACACACATAGTAAACATTTGGAAATTAGAAATACAACAAACCCATGCATAAATGATGTATATGAATTCTCGACCTTACAGTAGTTGGTATGCCCTCTATACATTTGCTTTCTACTCATCAGCAATTCACATATAATTAGCCTCTAGTATCAACCTACAAAATCAGTCTACGTGGTTGACGGTGTTGATCATCTGGTTTTACTTTTAAAATAGAACTGAAGATTTTTTTTTCGTCCTTGCAATTTGTAAAAACTACAGTATTGCGATCACTTTCTAAAAAATAGCGTATGCAAAAGTGAAAATGAATCATGACTAACTATTGGCATATAGCGAGACACTGGCACATGAATGAATCATCCGACTCTGTTCAGCGATTATTTGCCACACTTTCTCATTAGTCATTACTAACACAACCTAAACAGCACATGCAGAGATGATGTTGCCGGTGCAAGAAAAAAGCGAATCAAATTTGCATTTATCCTGCAACAGTGTTATAAACTACACATATTTGTCCTGCCAACAACAATAAGCAATAACAGCAAAAATGCAATTCGTTTAGGGGAACAATGCAATGCAAATTTAATGGCCTGATTAACATTTATAATATGATAAATCGTGCAACAATAGTTATGGGACGACACTCAGCTCCATAAGATGATGAGACTAATGGTTTTCTTATCTTTCTCTCCATGATGGTGATGATGATGATGATGAAGAAGAAGAATAAGAACACACCTCTTACTCTCTTGCATATGACCTCCTTGCAAGAATCATTGAAGAGCCCGAGAAGCTCGTCGACGGCGGAGAAAACGGGTGGCGCAGCATCGAGCAGGGGCGGCGATGACAGCCAGACCACCTCGAGCACCACGGTCCAGAAGCCAAGAGCATGAGCAGATCAAAATCAGAATGGATTAACCAGGAAACCCTAGACAGATCCCTAAAAAACAACAAAACCCTTGATGAGCACATACACATCACAAAGAGAAAGACAAACAAGGGAGCAAATAATCACCTCAGCCATCTCAGAAGCCCACTCGGTGTGCTCCCTCTCCGGTCGACCCGCAAGACAGCCCCAACGCCACGCCACCGTCCCAACCATGAAACGGACAGAGAAGGAAGATGGTAAAAAAACAAGCGAAATAAAATATAGGAACGATGAGCGAAATGAAAGCCACCTGAAGAATGGTTCCTGCTCGGAGTTTCCTTTTGTTAACATGGTTCTTGACAATGGTGGGAGGCACAAATGACATAATGATTTGGATAGATTGGTCAAGGGTAGTGAGGGCCAATGAAAGAGTGTTATTACAATACTTAGTTTACAATTCAATTGCAAGTTGCAACTGGAAATGTGCAATCCTATGTCTTACACTATAAAACATTCCACTTTGCTTCTCATTTAGTTTTGTGTTTACAGTGATACTAATTGTGCTCCCTGCTCGCACCAGATGAATATATGCAAAATAGTTGTCTGTGGCGGTTTTTGTTTTGGTTTACACAAGCAATAAAGAGCAATTAGACATGGCACTTCTTTCCCAGCCTTGATTATTTGCTTCTTGTGCATGCCTTATAGTATTAAATATTAAATACATGGTTCATCAGGGGCATATAGATAAATGTGTTCATCAGGCATGTCCTAAATGAAACGGAGCAATATTGGATATAAACAACAAATATAAAAAATACTCAGCTCCAATACAAACATTAACCAGCCTAAAGACGATGTTATTAGAAACAGGACACTATGGTTTCTGCTGGTTTATCAACAAATTAAAACAAGCCATTCAACAGACAACTTGCTAAGAGCGAGTCTTTCTAGCATAACAATGTGCAACTTACTCTTAACCAGATGAAATCAAGGTCCAACAACAAACAATAAAAGATCAAGAACAACTTTTATGCAATAAAGATATGAGAGAGAAGAAATATTTACATAAGACAACTAT